TTACTTTAGTGTTGATTACTATGCTTGCTTCTATTAGTGACACATCATATGGTTTGCAAATTAAATCTAAATAATTAGTCTAGCTAGCACTATTCTAACTAAATTACCCAAGTTGAGGCTGATACACATGGAAGTGCACGGTTACAAATTAAAGCTTCATTTTTCAACAGATCTTGACAGTAAGAGCAATAACTTAATTGATAATTATATTATAGGGTAAATTACATAATAGTCCCTCAGGTTTGAGGTCCATTACAATCTCATACAACATCTTTAAAACATTTCACTTTCATACCTCATGTACTATTTTTTTTCAAAATAATACATTCGTTACATTTTCCATCCATTAACCTGTTAAGCACTGACATGGCTGCAACATATGTGCCACGTGGCTGCCAAATGTGTGCCACGTGGCAAAAAAAAATTTAATTTTTTTTTAAATGTGAATCTTCTTTAAATAAAAAATAAAAAAAATAAAAAAACCTAATTCAATTTCCTCATCCGCCCCTTCTCAAAGTCTTCTTCCACCCTTCTCCAGCAACCTTCGAACCACCCTCTTCTCATCATCTTCAATAGATTTCAACTTTAGCCATCAAATCCTTTTCTGTAATCAACAGCTTGGCATCGAACGCGAACCCATCCAAAAACCCATCTTCCCCACCATCTCTCTCTTAGGCAGATCTGGGATTTCAAAATTTTTTAATTTTGGGTTCGCAATAAAATACCAGTTGGATTTTGGTTATAGGTTCGAACTCAAATACCCAGTTCGAATTCAAATACCCAACTAAATCAATTAGTGCGTGGGGGAGGGACGGATGAGCGGTGAAGGGATTTGGATTTGCTACGGCTCGACAAGAAGGCGTCGAGAAAGGGCGAGCAGAAGGTCCTGATTTTCGACCTTGGCGGCGGGACTTTTGATGTCGTGCTCTTCTGACAATTGAGGAGGTAATTTTCGAGCTGAAGGCCAAAGTTGGAGACACCCATCCTTGGAGTTGTCGCCGGTGAGGGGTGGTGGAAGGGTGCAAACGGGTGGGTGAAGGGGGGTGGGGTTTTCCTTTTTGGGTTTCTGGTTCGTTGGGGGGGGGGGGTGTTCCTTTTTCTGGGCTTCTAGTTTGTTGGGGGGGGGGGGGGGAAGGATTGCTTCCTAGGTTTTGGGTTGGGGGTGCACGGGGATGTGGTTTTGTTTGAGTTTATTTTTATTTTTTTTAGATTCATGTTTTTTTAAATAAAAATAAAAAATTATTATTTTTGCCACATGGCCTACATTTAGCAACCACGTGGCACAAATGTGGCAGCTACGTCAGCACTTAACGGATCAATGGATGAAAAATGTAACGGATGTATTATTTTGAAATAAAATAGTACATAAGATAAGAAAGTGAAATGTTTTAAAGATGTTGTATGGGGTTGTAATATACCTTAAATTTGAGGGGCTACTATGTAATTTATCATATATTATATGTTTTAGAATTAGTAATAGTAATAGTAGGAGTCGTAGCACCAATGGATCATGCTAGCTAATTATCTGATCAACCCTAATAATATTTGTGGATCCAACTTAACGATGACGATAAGATAGATTTATTAGGTTAGGGTTCCAAGTGGCTACCATACCACCATTAACTTACCAAACAAGGTCATGACCTCAATGATTAATTTCAAATATGACACAAAACCCATCACAAACAAAAACAAAAATATTCAAATGTATTGATAAGCAAATTCTCAGATTAAGACAGTACGTACTATTAGCTATGAAACTCAACTGTCAGTAGTGGTGAAAACAGGAAGAGGAGAGACTTGAAAGAATCCGTAGAGGCCAGAAGAAAAATGGCCCCCTTTGGGACACACCCATGGGTCAGCCAATGGCTCTCAAGCTTTGTGCTTCGTAAATTTGGACGTGACATGAAAAAAAAGGCCATTTTCTATGCCCAGTTATAATCTTATGGCTACCATTAAACTTACATTGTTCCAAAAAAATAGATATTTGATTATATGACAATTCGTCAAGTTAGTTGTCTTGAAATGTAGAATGCTTATATTTATATTGTTGGACATTTGGACGTGACATGAAAAAAAAGGTCATTTTCTCTTCCTAGTTACAATCTTATGGCTACCATAAAACTTACATTGTTCCAGAAAAATAGATATTTGATTATATCACAACCATTCGTTCGTCAAGTTAGTTGTCTCGCAATGTAAGATGCTTCTATTTATATTGTCGGACAGTAAATTTATATTATATATCAGGTTTAACTATATTGTTTGACTGTGTAGTTTAAAAATTTACGGTTTAAACATTATAAGAATGCATAAGTTTTGATAAGAAAATATTATTTACATAAATTTGATAGGAGACCACTCAACTAAATTTTATTCTGACGCTGATGTTTTCTTAACGGACATAGTGGAATCTGACTAGCCAAAGCAGACCTTGAAATTTAATATATAAACACAAGAAATGCAGGAATTGGAAACATGGCTGCAAGTGATAAGCCGGAGTATTAATTTTAAATCACTATACTACATATGTAGTGTATGCATGCGTAAGAAAAATCCAAATCCTAATACAGGATCTTAGCTAGGGTTGTGTGTTTTGCGTTTGATAAGTCAGTGCATGCATTGACGAATACGAGCTATTGCGTTTCACACTAAAAATTAGGTATTAATATCATATGAGACAAAACAAAACCATTGGACAACAAATCATGGATATTGTAAAATTTACTTTTTGATAACTTGAAGGTTCTCACCTACTAACTTTGGCTTTTATTTCCATGAATGAATGTACCTCTTTAAGCAATGAATATACAATACTAAGAGTTGGAGTTCCTCGAAAGGAGGGTTTCGTCTAACCACCGGAGGGGTTCCGTCTAGATCTCTGGAAGGGTTTCGCCTGTCCAGGCTCTCCCGTCTCGTGTTGGGGCTGTGATTCTGGATTCTTGGTACCCCTGTTAGGTGAGTAGTTGGGAGGTGAGTTCAGGAGGTCTGGAAGTGTGAATTTCGGGGATCTTTGGCGGGATCTAGGGTTTCCAGGGGGTAGGCGGAGATCTCAAGGGGGTTCGTCTGCCTCGGCTCTGGTCCTTTTGGTGCTGGGTCGGTGAATCTTGGTATCCTTGTTCGGCGAGCAGGTGGGTGGAGCGGCGGAGACATCGAGGGGGTTCGTCTGCTTCGGCTCTGTTCCTTCTCGTGGTGGTCGGTGAATCTCGGGTTCCTTGTTCGGTGAGCAGGTGGGAGGAGAGCTCAGGCGTTTGGGAAAGAGATTGTTAGGATTTTCGGGCGGGATTTAGGGCTATCAGGGTATTGGTGGGGTCTAGCTCTGGGGGGTGCTCCTAGTCTCTGGTGTTCGGGATCGGGACTCCTGGTGGGGGATTGGCCTCGTCCGGGAAAGAAGGGGAAGGTGCGATCATGGGCGAGGATAAACCCAAGAAGGACCTAGAGGATCTGGGCTCTCGGTTTGGGGCAAAGCTGAAACTGTCCGAGAAAGAGCTTGGCGGAATATGTATTCAGAGGAAAGATGTAGAGGGTGCTCTAGTGGGACTCCAATACACTCTGATTGCAGAAGTCCTTACCTCGAAAGAGGTAAATGGGGAAGCTTTCATAGATTGTTTCATGTCTCTGTGGCGGGGGAGGGAAGGTGTTTCTATCAGGGACATTGGTGACCGGAGATTCCTAACGAGATTTGCCGGTCAAAGGGATCTTCAACGAGTGGTAGATGCAGATCAACCGTGGCACTTTAAAAATGATCTAGTCATGGTTGCGGAGCGGACGAACAGTGGTCTCAACAGATGGGCTTCTCTCTCCTCAGGAACGTTCTGGGTGCAGATTCATAATGTTCATGTTCTAAGCATGACTCAAGCGGTGGCGGAATCCATTGGAGGCCTAATCGGGACGGTTAAATCGGTGGATAAATCCGGCAGTAGAGACTGCATTGGAAGATTTCTTCGAGTAAAAATTCATTTCAATGTACGTGAATCCCTTATGCGAGGTACTTTTGTTAATTTCCCTGATGAAGGCAGAGTGTGGGTTGATTTTAAATACGAAGGGCTTCCTAAATACTGCCTCATATGTGGTCTATTGGGACATGCTACTTGTGTGTGCAAAGGCTCCCAGGAGCTAGGGATGATTGAAGGGGAAACCTCTGAGGAGTTGGGGGAGGGGTTTGCGTTTAAGGGATTGGATGCACTTACGGATCTGAGGGGTAAATTATTAGGCGCGGGGGGCAGTACTAGGACTCCTCGAGGGTTTAGTAGAGGACGAAAGGATACTGGAAGATGGAAAGATGATCGTAGTGAGGAACAAGATGGAGGAAAACGATCGGGCCGATCATCCACAGCCTCGGGTATGGGAAGTCACACACAACTGGGGGCCTCGAGATCGTTCAGTGGGAGTGACTATACGGACACGATTCTCGCGGAAGAGGCTGATACTGCTATATTACCAAACAAACCCCGCTGGTCTCCAAGCAGACTGAATAAAGAGAGACTTAACCTAGCTGACAAAATTCGTCACCAACGTCAGGAGAAAGAGGATGCAAGAAAGGCTAGAGAATTAGCTTTCGATGCAGGACTAATTGGACCAGGAGGAGTGATTGCGGAAGGTGCTGAAAACGTTATTCTCCATGAAATCCTTGAACAGGAGATCTATGGGAACTTGACCGGGGTGTCAACTGCAACAGGGCAGAGTTTTGACTTGAATAGTGATCCATTCATTATGGAGGGAATTGGTGATGGAATTCTAGACAACGGAGAGGAGGCGGGTAGGCTGGTGAGTGTAGACGGTGCTGGTGTGAATGGAATTAGTACGGAGGATGACCCATTTCAACTGGGTCCTATCATTCAGGCAATAACTATGGAACAGAAAGGGAGAAAACGAAACATTCAGGAAATGGAGCTCTCATCGACTACTACTACAGAGGAGCCACTAGCTACCAGACCGAGGAAGGGGTGTTTCTTTAAAGAGGCGGAGGAGACCAGCCGTAAGGGGTCCCCCACACATCCATGAAGATAATCACGTGGAACTGTCAGGGTATCAAGGGTGACCTGACAGTTGACAACCTGCTGGAGCAGAACCGGCTTCACACCCCTGACATGGTTATTCTGCTGGAAACTAAGAATAAAAGTAGGAGTTTTGCCCATCTGAAAAGGAGACTGGGTATGGAACACTGGTTCGCTGTTGAGCCTCGCGGCATTGGAGGTGGCTTATGTGTTTTCTGGAGAGATGCAACCTCTGTGGTGTTAATGAAATCGGAGGACTTTTTGGTAGAACTCAAATTGTGGGATGAGAAGATGAACTGTAACTGGAGGCTATTCGCTATTTATGCTAGTACGGATGATAAGAAGAGAAGGGAGCAATGGCAAGAAGTTTCTAAGCGTATTGGACAAGATCGGGACCGCTGCCTCCTCCTAGGAGATTTCAATGATATTCTTTGTAACGAAGAGAATGAGGGAGGGAATTACAGACCGGCTGCTAGTCTACGTGACTTTAGAGATTTTGTGGCTCGTGATGAACTCATGGATCTGGGCTATGAAGGTTACCCCTTTACCTGGAGAAATAAAAGAGAGTCCCTGCCTATTCAGCAACGCCTTGACCGTGGGTTGGCGACCTTAGGCTGGTATGAAATGTACCCCAACACAATAATCAAGCATGTGATATTGGAAGGATCGGATCACGCCCTTTTGATTCTCTCGACTGATAAAGGTCCGAATTGGAAGGGAAAGAAATTTTCATTCGATGGGCGTTGGAGCAAGTCGGAAGAGTGTCGTAAGTTGGTTGGGGAAGATTGGAGAGTTCAGATTTATGGCTCACATGCGTACCGTTTTTGTGAAAAACTGAAATATCTTAGAAGAAGTTTAAAAGCCTGGTACAAAGGAAGAGGAAGGAACTCGTTGAAACTGATTCAGCATCTGAAAGAAGAGATAAGGGCGGCCTACGAAACTAATGAGTTTGCCTCAAAGGATGTTATAAAAAAAGAGAGGGAGCTCATTGCTGCTCATCAGAAGGAGGAGGCTTACTGGAAAGTTAAATCCAGGAATCAATGGCTACGCGAGGGTGATAAGAACACCAAATTTTTCCATGCTCAAACGCTAAAAAGGCGCCGGTTTAATACGATCCGAGGAATAGAGGACGCCCGGGGGATCTGGCAGGAAAGTTCTGAAGGTATTGGTAATACGGCTATTGATTATTTTACTGAACTTTTTCAATCCTGTCAGCTTAATCTGGTGGCGGAAGTTCAGAGTTGCATGGAGGGTCGGCTCTCCCTAGAGGACAACCGAGGTTTAACTGCTATGGTCTCCGAATGTGAAATTTTGGAGGCTGCTTTTCAAATCCCTCCTACTAGATCTCCGGGTCCTGATGGTTTCTCTGGCTGTTTTTACCAAGATCACTAGGACACGGTCGGGTCGGACGTAGTCAAGATTGTTAAAGCATTCTGGCACTCGGGTTCCCTGCTGCGTAAACTCAACCACACCAATGTTGTGCTTATTCCGAAGGTGAAGTGCCCAAAAAATATGATGCAATATAGGCCTATTGCTTTATCTAACGTCATCTACAAGATTATTGCCAAGGTTCTCACTAATAGGCTTAAGAAGGTGATGCCGAAAGTGATTGGGGAGAACCAATCTGCCTTCGTGGTTGGGAAGCAAATCCAAGATAACATCCTTGTGGTGCACGAAGTCCTTCACTCCTTAATCCACCAGAATAAAGGAGACCAACCTGGGATGGCTATCAAGCTTGATATGGCCAAGGCATACGATCGGGTTGAATGGGATTTCTTCTTGGGAATGATGGCTAGCCTGGGTTTCGCGCCTATCTTCTGCAGCTGGATTAAGGAATGCATTTCTACCGTATCATTTAGTGTCCTCATAAACGGGTCCCCAACGGGTTTCTTCCGGCCGAATCGGGGGCTCTGACAAGGCGATCCCCTATCCCCTTTCCTGTTCCTCCTCTGTACTGAAGGATTCTCAATGTTAATCAGGAGAAGCCTGGAAAGGGGTGCCCTCCACGGTTTCAAGGTATCTCCTACTGGTGTACCGATAACGCATCTCTTTTTCACGGATGAGTCTGTGGTTTTTGGAAACGCTTCTGTGGAGGAGGCGGAGAGCATAGTGGCAGTTCTACAGACGTATGCTCGGGGCTCCGGGCAGATGATTAATATGGCCAAAAGTTCGGTCTTCTTCGGTGCTAATACCCCGAAATGTCAGAAAGCCAAAATTGTGAACTCCCTGGGGATACAAAGTAAACAAAGATTTGGGAAATATCTTGGCCTGCAGGCCGATTTCGGACACTCAAAAAAAGCTGTCTTTGCGGAAATCCGGGATAAGATTGAAGCTCGTATGTCTGGTTGGGCTGAACAGTACTTGTCCCAGGCGGGAAAGGAGATCCTTGTGAAATCAGTTGCTATGGCCTTGCCTAACTACGCTATGAGTTGTTTTAGACTCCCCATTGGAGTGTGTCGGGATGTTGAAAGAGCTATTCGAAATTACTGGTGGCGTGGTAATGAACAACGTAAGGGCATTCACTGGGTCTCCTGGGATCGTCTCATGAAACAGAAAAAGGCTGGTGGAATGGGATTCAAGGATATCCAATGTGTCAACCTTGCTCTTCTTGCCAAGATCGGATGATGAATCACCCAAAACCCTTTGTCCCTCCTAGCTTCGGTTTTGAGTGATAAATACTTCCCGGGGAAAAGTTTTGGTGAAGCTCTGAAAGGGAAGAATACCTCATGGGGCTGGAAAGGCCTCTTTGAAACCCGGAAAGTGCTTAAACTTGGTCTTAGATGGCGGGTGGGAAATGGGAAAAGCATAAACATTAGGAAGGATCCATGGCTCCCTAAACCCTCAACCTATAAAGTCATCCCGAAACCAATTCTGGAAGGAACAATGGTATGTGATCTGATCGACCCTGTTACTAACTCTTGGTGAACGGACTTGATCGAGCTCGGGTTTCAGCGGGAAGATGTTTTACCGATCTTAAGCATTCCACTCAGCCACGCTGGCATAGATGATAGACTGGTGTGGCACTACACTACCAATGGGATTTTTTCAGTTAAAACTGGGTACAGTTTGGCTTTAAAACTGATGGAAGAAGGTGCTTTGGGAAGGAAAGGGCGCGGTGCCCCTAGTGAAAGTAACAATTTAAATCTGGTATGGAATAATATCTGGAGTCTGCAGGTTCCAAATAAGATCAAATGCTTCATTTGGCGATGCTGCAACAATGCTCTGGCGGTTAGACGGAATCTTAAAAGACGTCATATGAGAATTGACAATGTTTGTGGTGTTTGTAACGCCATTAATGAAACTGAAAACCATCTGTTTTTCCGTTGTGAATTTAGCCATGTCTTCTGGTTTTGTTCTCCTCTGCACCTCAATTCTCACGCCCTGGAGGGAAGTGACTTTCTCGAAAGCTGGAGCAACTTTTGTGCTCAAGTGAAGGATAGGAACAATGCGGATGACATCCGTCAAGAATTTGCCTTTGGCCTGTGGAGATTGTGGAAGAACAGAAACGATGTGATATTCAAAGGGATATATCGCCAGCCTTTGGATATCTTGGAGGCCTGGAGGAAGAGTACTAGCGAGTACAAAGACTGTTTGGCGCGGGAAGAAGATGACAACAGACCGAGGCTGCCGAAGACAATTAAGGCTTCAGAATCTTTTTGTACTAAGTGGCAGAAACCTAGGTTCGGAACTATTAAGATTAATTCCGACGCGGCCTGGTGTAAAGACACGATGCGTATGGGTTTGGGTTGGCTGGGTCGGGATTTTGCGGGACTGCTCCAAGCAGCTGGGGGGATAGGCTCTGGTTTCTGTCATAGTGCTGCGGCTGCTGAAGCTTCTGCCATCAGGTATGCTCTATTGGCCTGTATCGAACATGGGTTTAATGACATCATCATTGAATCTGATGCAAGTTTGGTTATTAAAATGCTGAAGAAGGAAGTGTTGGTAGATTTTAGTATTGAGTGTATTCTTGGCGACATTGAGGTTCTAGTGCATAAGCTGAGGACTGTCTCTTTTGCTTTTGTGCCTAGAGAGGGTAATCGTGCTGCTCACTCGGTGGCTAAGTATGCCTTTAAGGAGGGCCGATCTTTTTCTTGGGATTGTATTGGCCCTGATTTTCTGTTTAATATTCTTGCTAAGGATGTAAACCTTTCTATTCGTCTTTAATATATTTCTATCTTTGGTTAAAAAAAAAAAAAAAAAAGCAATGAATATACCATAAATGGTTAAATTACCAAAATGGCACGGAAAATTTGCCCTTGCCATACCTGGAAATTGTAATAATAATCGGAGTAGGATTCTCACTCATTCTATTCTCGTATATTTTCCTCTCCTCCTTTTACACTTTGTTTTTTGTCTTATTTTCCTTATAAAAAAAATCAATATAAGATATTGACGTGACTTCATCGTAACCATTCAAGTAGAAGGGAGGAAAAGAAAGAGAGATTAGAAGGGATGAGAATCCTCCTCCAATGACTCCATAATAATCACCTCCATGCCATGCCATGCGAGGCGATGCAATGCCAGTGATATCCCACACAAATTGTATGACTGGTCTTCTTTTGTTCCTTTTAGTTCGTTCTGGAAGAAGCAGTTTATGTCATGCTTAATAGTTGTATTCCTTTATAACAAGCTTTTAGTATTCCCCATTTCTATACATATATAAACTATTGGGCACAATGTATAACATGCATCTAACTAATACTAAAAAAGAAAAAAGAAAAAAAAACAATATACGTATCTGACTAAGACCCAATTAATGAAAAGATTGTCCTTTTGTCCTTTATCTGGAAGGGGACTAGGGAGAAAAGGAGTCGGATTCTGGCTATGGGGCGAGGGATAATTATTCTAATGATGTTTTAGGATATTAATTATCAAATAAAAAATGGTGAAATAAACCAAGAGAATGTTCTTTTGTCTGTGTTATGAGTGGTTGAATGAATTTAGAATGAACAAATGAAGGTGGCTTTGACAGTCACAAAGTTCTGTGGTTTGTTTGAGGAAAGAGATCACAAAGTTAGGAAAATGCTTTTGTTTACAGAAAATATGTGTTACAGAAATCAACTTCCTAATTTCGAATGACTCATTTCAACTTTCCAAATTATGTTTAGAATTTTGTACAATTGCAACTATGATTCATTCCTCTTTTGGTTCATGTGAACCATGTCTTCAATTATTTTATTAAAAGGAAAACTAATGAAAAGTCCAAAAAAGGTGTAGTGAATAGTACCAAATAAAGGTAAAAATATTATTTTTTGTTAAAAGTGAACAGTACCGGAAGTGTTTCATTAAAACTCCCTTTATTAAATGAATAATGTGAATGATAAGTTAAAAGTGCATAACATAAATGTGGAGCCAAATATAAGTCGAAAAATTATGAATGTGGCACGTGGACATTTTTCCGAAGAAGACAAGAATGCTCTTATTAAATTTAACGAATCCCACAAGATTTCCATGTGCAATCCAACATCCCAAGAGGCTCAGCTAATTACAACATCATCAAGCTCATCTGCCCATGGCAACGAGAAAAGTTAAAGACATTAAAGATAGGATTATTTACTAAACCCTATCTTTAATACTCTCCTAATTGAAACTCAACTCAATCAAGTAAGGAATCACAATCATATCCAATTAAGGATACTTGCAAGATGACCCCAAGATAATATTTATTAACTAATATCTTGGGATTATTTCTTCCTCATCCATCCAGATGACTCACCTTGACCAATTAGATGTCACCACATGTCAGGGCAAAACCACATATGTCCCAATCTCCACTGTGGGACCTTGATTTTCTAGGGCTGGAGCATGGCTGATTAGAATACAACTATTTTAAAAGTCTGCTCATAAACTCAACAACTCCAAGTTGAGCTGGACTAATGGAGCAGCAGTGCCACTATAACCTTGTTCCAAGGCAATGGGTGAAGTCAGAGTGACTCCGCTGAAATCACCATGCCTGTTCCTCAAGATATGGGATCTAATTTGGTATAGAATCAGCCAAATCTCGATAAGTCTTGGAGCTCTTACACTCTAGGGAATGGCGCCGCAAGTAATCACACTCCTAAAGAGAATGCAATATCCACTTCTAGATATCATCTAGGATTCTCCCAACTTAGAACAAGGATTTTATCCTTATAATGTCTTTCTCCCACCTGGTATAAATACACCCATCTAGGGTTCATCTCTGGTAACGCAATCTGTGCTCTAATTCTCTTGCCCACTACTTAAGTTTTATACTTGCTTACTAATTTGACCGTCGGAAAGCCTTTGCCCCCCTCCCCGCGATCTTAGGCTTGCTCACAGTTGTTTTTTGCTTTACAAGTTACTCAGATTCGTGCATCTCTACCACCTGCAGTGGTGTGCGAATTTGGTTCCAACAATTGATTCTTTCGTTG